CAAGCTCTTAGCTTCCTGTTCCTGCTTCCATGCCTGCCACTTGCTGTCATGGCTTCCTGCCCATGACATACTCAAGCCCAAATAAGCTCTCCAGTGACTTGTCCTTGGTCATTGTCCTGGTTAGATATGTTTTTCAACCACACACAAGCCAGAGTGACTGGGCAAGAGGAACTTCAACTGAGAAAATACCTCACTTAGATTGGCCAGTCTAGAGGGCCCAGCCAATGATGAATGGTGACATTCCTGGGCAGGTGGTCCTGAGTTGTGTAAGGAGGCTGAACAAGTCACTAAGAACAAGTCGTGTTCCTCCATGGTCTCTGCTTCAGTTCCTGTCTCCAGGTTCCTGCATGAGTTCCTGAGTTGACATCCCTTCATGGTAGACTACGTTCATAAGCTTAAATAAATCCTTTGTTCCCTTAGTTGCTTTTGGATATGTGTTTATCACAGCACTGGAAACGTAAATACAAGTGGTCAAGAAATTTTCTCACAGTAACAGAAAACTAATATGGTTTTGAACATATGCCAGGATTCCTCCCACCCCCCAGTACTGATGTTGAAACCTAGGCTTCATTCATGCTAGGTAAGAGCTCTAGGACTCAGTTACATAGCCAGTGTTTAGTAACTTCCTAAAGGATAAAGCCCACAAACACCCATAGGAAATACAAAAAAAAAAAAAACTAGCTACTTCCTCCCCACTCTCACCCAGTTCTTTAGCCTATGGTTAGGTTTAGCATTTAACCTAGGGAAAAAAGTTATATCATGAGCAAGCTTAAGGAGAAGTGGAATAGAAAGAGAATTTCATGGAATGCTACAATGCTCAAAATACTAGACATTGCTTTAGTTAATCTAGAAACAATCTTGTCTTAAACTCTGCCTGAAGTGGGAATACAATAAACTGAGACTTTGGTACTTTCACATGCTCATTCCCGTCTGCTCTAAGACCTACATATCTTTTTAAAAAGTTTTTACATATCCAGACCCCCATTCCCTTGCCCTTCCATCCTCACATGCTCCTAAACCCATTCCCCTCCCACTCCCCAAGGATGTGAGACCTTCCACGAGGGACCATCAAAGTCTGTCACATCATTTGGGGGAGGGCCTAGGTACTATTGCATGTATCTGGGCTGCAATAGTAACCCTCCATAGGGAATGTGTTTCTAAAGTCCATTTGTGCACTAGGGATAAACACTGGCTCCACTGTTAGAGGTCCCATAGATTGCCCTGGCCTCCTAGCTGGCACCCACATTCAGAGGGCTTGGTTCGGTCCAATGCTGGTTCCCCAGGTTTACGACTAGTGTCTCTGTGCTCTCAGTAGGTCAGGTCAACTGTTTCTGTGGGTTTCTCCAGCGCTGTGTTGGCTCCTTTGCTCATCCCTCCTACCTCTCTACGACTGGATTCCAGGTGTATGGCTCAGTGTTAAGCTGTGGGTGCCTGCTTCTGCTTCAGTCAGCCATAGGATGAAGGCTCTAGGATGGCAACCAAGGTAGTCACCAATCTCATTATAGGGGAAGAACATCAAAGGCAGCTTCTCCACTACTACCTAGATTCTTAGTTGGAATCATTCCTGTGGATCCCTGAACATTTTCCTAAATGCCAGACATCTCTCTAAACCTATACTGACTCACTCTGTCAAGGTATCTCCTTTCTTGCTCTCCTCTATTCCTTCCCTGTCTCAGTATTCCTGATCTCTCTTGTTCTCCTCCTCACTCCTCTTCTCCCTTTCTGTTTTTCCTACCTCTCTCCCCCAACCCGTGCTCCCAATTTGCTCAGGGGATCTTGTCCCTTTCGCCTTCTTCGGGGGACCATGTGTTTTTCTCCTGGGGTCCTCCTTGTTTCCTAGTTTCTCTGGTGGTGTGGATTGTAGGCTGGTAATTCTTTGCTCTATGTCTAAAATCCATACAAGAGTGAGTACATACCATGCGTGTCTTTCTGTGATTAGGTTACCTCACTCTGGATGTTTTCTTCCAGTTCCATCCATTTGCCTTCGAACTTCAAGATTTTATTATTTTGTTTTTTCCCACTGAGTAATACTCCATTGTGTAAATGTACCACATTTTCTCCATCCATTCTGTGGCACCTGTGCCACAAGCAACTCCAGGGTATCAGGAAAAGAGAGACAAGACAAGATGTCCACTTGTTTGTACTAAGAGAATGCATGTGCTGCCTTTATTGCCAGGAGAATGTGTGTGTGTGTGTGTGTGTGTGTGTGTGTGTGTGTGTGTGTGTGTGTGTGTGTCTTCATTACAAATGCTAAGAGGTCTCTCTCTTGTAGGAGGGAGGAGCTTTATATACAGGCTTACAGCACAGTGGAAAAACCCCAGGTAGAAGAGAGTGTGTTTTACTCCTGCTGAATGTTGACTGGAAAACAAATTGCACTTGTAGGCTGACCAGCAAGTCACAGAGACCCCGTGGGGTTGGGGCCCAACACATTCTTTGGTTGAGGGGCATCTAGGTTGCTTCCAGGTTCTGACTATTACAAATAATGCTGCTATGAACATAATTGAGCATATGTCCTTGTTGTATGAATGTACATTCTTTGGGTATACGCCCAAGAGTAGAATTGCTGAATCTTGAGGTAGACTGATTCATTTTCCTGAGAAACTGCCATACTGATTTCCAAAGTGGTCGTGTACTTGTAAGTTTGCACTCCCATGAGCAATTGAGGAGTTTGCCTCTTTCTCCACATCCTCTCCAGCATAAACTGTCCTTGTTGTTTTTGATTTTAGTCATTCTGGCTAGTATAAGATTTTAGCCATTTTGGCCAGAGTTGTTTTGAGTTGCATTTCTCTGATGGCTAAGGATGTTGAGCATTAAGTGTCTTTCAGCCATTTTAGATTGCTCTATTGAGAATTCTCTATTTAGTTCTGTATCCCACTTTTTAATTGGATTGTTTGGTGTTTTGGTGGCTAGCTTCTTGAGTTCATTGTGTATTTTGGAAATCAGCCCTCTGTCAGATGTGGGGTTGGTGAAGATCTTTTCCCATTCTGTGGGCTGCCAACAACAACACAAATTGCAGAAACCCCACAAACTCATGGAAATTGAACAATGTGCAATTGCACCATTCCTAGTCAAGAAAGAAATAAAAAAAAAGAAATTAAAGACTTCCTAGAATTCAATAAGAATGAAGACACGGCATGCCCAAATTTATGGGACAATTTAAAAGCAGGGCTAAGAGGAAAGTTTATAGCACTAAGTGCCCACGTGAAGAAACTGGAGAACAGTCACTCAAGAGAATTAACAGCACAACTGAAAACTCTAGAACAAAAAGAAGCAAACTCACCCCGGAGGAGTAGACCCAGGAAATAATCAAATTGAGGGCTGAAATCAATAAAGTAGAAACAAAGAAAACAATACAAAGAATCAATGAAACAAAGAGTTGGTTCTTTGAGAAAATCAACAAGATAGATAAACCTTTAGCCAAACTAACCAAAAGGCAGAGAGCACAGGCTAAGTAACAAAATCAGAATTGAAAAAGGGGAACTAACAACGGACACTGGGGAAATCCAGAGAATCATCAGGTCATACTTTGAAAACCTGTACTCCACAAAATTCGAAAATTTAAAGGAAATGGACAATTTCCTGGATATATATCATTTACCAAGAACAGATAAGCAATTTAAATAGCCCTTAATGAAATGGAAGCAGTCATCAAAATCCCCCCCCAAAAACTCAGGGCCAGATGTTTCAGTGCAGAATTCTACCAGAAATTCAAAGAAGAGCTAATACCAGTACTCCCCAAACTGTTTCACACAATAGAAGCAGAAGGGACTTTGTCAAACTTTTTTTTTTACAAGACTACAATTACTTTGGTACCCAAACCACACAAAGACACAACTAAGAAAGAGAACTTCAGACCAATATCCCTCATGAACATTGATGCAAAAATACTCAACAAAATACTGACAAATCTAATCCAAGAACACATCAGATAAATCATCCACCATGATCAAGTAGGCTTCATCCCAGGGATGCAGGGATACAGGGATGCAGGGATGCAGGGATGGTTCAACATACAAAAATCCATCAGTGTAATCCACCATATAAACAAACTGAAAAAGAAAACCACATGATAATCTCACTAGATGCTGAAAAAGTGTTTGACAAAAAAAATTTTATACTGAGTATGGAAATCGTATCCCTGCCCCTTGTGCTCTTATTAGGTATGTTCTGTTTTTTGATTTTCTTGTTGGTGCTTAGAAAGAGTCTATGTTTTCTCTTTTGACCTAGCATGGGAGTTGGGGGGAGGTATTCTGCCTTATAGCAAACTGGAAAACAAAGAAAATGGGTATAATGGAGATAGTGAGAAAGACTGGGCATTTGAGGTGTGAGAAAAGTCACTTGAGTGTCTTAGCTGCTGAAGCACGGCTACCTCCATAGGTTCCTGCCCTGCCTGGTTGCAGCTGGAGAAATTCTCTTAATTGGATACTTCTAATCCAGTCTGGTTGTTCTCAAGTCCTAGTCAACATTGGGAGACCCTTCTCTTATCTAGTGCTTCCTTCTAACTACTGGAAATAATAAATCATTACTTATTTTCACATAAAATTCTATGTAATTAAATTATAAGTTAAACAGTCTTTTCTGGGTTTGTGGGTTAGTCTTGGAATTTGTCCCTACCAGTTTTTATTTATGTATTTATTTTTGCATGCTGAGAATTGCAACAAGGGTTTTGTGCATTCTAAAAATGTGTTGTAGGCTGAAAGCCTAGTCACTTGCCTTCAAATACTACTTTTAAGTGAAAAATATGTGGAACCCCCAAAGAAATGTATTCTAAATGAACATGGGACTTAAACTTCCAGAGTTCAAGAAGAGTTCTGCCTTTATACTGTTTGAGTCAACAAGAAAGGGTAAAAATAATGTGAAACAATGTATTTTAGAATACTCCACAGTTGATAGCCTCTCACTTACAGACCTTACTATTTAAGTTATTTCACAACCTAGAAAGAAAGCTACAGTGATGCCTGGAAAATACAGTACAGTAATAAAGTTCCACACAGTTCTAGTAGGTTTTACAAAGCCTTTTTAATCACATACATTTCTTGTGTGGCACTGTTTTCCCAAGAGTCTCTAAATGCTGATCTATTATTGACTCCATTCTAATAAATCAATGGTATATCTTTCTTGACATTCAATCATGTTTGTTGATGTTTTCTGGCTCCCGACATCAACTTTTTAATCAATGTACATGATAGTTGGTTCTGAATGAGAATGTCTTATAGCCAACAGGGATGTCTGATAAGTGAGATAAGACATGAATGGGCTAGAAAGATGGCTCAACCATTAAAAGTTAGGCTCACAACAAAAACTAAGTAATCAGTGAATCTCTCTTGTTGATAATTCCCTAATTCCATCTTCATACTAGCTAGGAATGGTGTACTTCATCCGTCAGAACATTAATAATCACTTGAGAATTTCTTCCATGATCTTGGAACTCGGTTCCTCTTGCTTTTAAATATTGCTGCATATACAATTCTTTATGAGTCATTGACTTTTTAGCTTAGCAGGCTATCTAGTGGGGTTATGTTGTTTAGTTTACGTATTTCAGTTATGTTTTTCAGAGGCTTTGAGTCATACTTGAGGGGTAAGGCAGTGAATTTGCATGTGGGTGGTGGTTTTGTTTTGGAAAATATTCTTCCAAATTCATCTGTCGTAGCATTCTTTTCTTGAATAGCATCTTTATCAAAGTAACCCACAAATTTTTTGGTTATGCTGGAAAAAGTGCGGGATAAGTTATAAAGTGTGTTTGGGAGTCTGTTTTCGGAAGCTAGACGGTCGAGTTTCTTCTTTCTTTTCTCCTGCAGACGCTGTTGTACCAGTTGAGCAAAGAGCAAGAACAACTCCTTGTGCTGCAATACAGGCTTAGGTCTTTGAGGGTTAGAAACAGCATAGGGTTGATCATTAAATAAAGCTTTCGTCATTTCACAGTTCTTTTCTAGAACAACATTCTTTCTTGTATATGTCATAACATAGGGAGTGAACCTTTTTGCCAGGAACAACATTTCTACATATGCTGTGTCATGGAAAATTATCGGATTTGTATGACTTTCTTCCTGTATGGTTAAAAACAAAAAAAACAAAAAACAAAGAACACTGAGTCATAAGGCTCTTGAGGCAAAACTATATATGTATTTTAAGCATGAAAATAAATTTGTAAAATATCTTAAATGACTATATAGAGGTTCATGATATCAACAAGAATAACATTTAAATACATTAAAAACAGGTGCTTTTCTATCCGGGCGGTGGTGGTGCACGCCTTTAATCCCAGCACTTGGGAGGCAGAGGCAGGCGGATCTCTGTGAGTTCGAGGCCGGGCTGGACCGACAGCCTCCAAAACAATACAGAGAAACCTTGTCTGGTTAAAAAAAAAAACAGGTGCTTTTCTGTGACACTCTTCCTTTTCAAAATTTGAAGCCTTAGCTTTCTTATATCCTTTCTGAAATAAGGTGAAGTATACAGAAGTAAACACTTAATTTCTTGGGGCATTGGGCATCGAGAGAAGAGGATAAGTAAGAAGGAACACTGTAGGCATTTTTAAAATGTCCATGCTCTAGAAATAAAAGGAACATACCCCTAAAATAGGTTGAGTCAAAGATCCTAAGAGATATAATGAATATAAGCCCAAATGACCATGTGTGGCTTTTCCAACTTTAAAAATTTGAATTGTGTCTAGAGTTGTACTTTAGGACTTACTACAATACTTGGTAAAAGTGTTTAATATATATTTGAAAACAGTAGCCAAAGTGATAGATATAGATATAAAATAGAAATTGCTTTATTATAGTAATAGAAAAATCCATAAAAAATTTTAGTTACTACCCCCACATTGGCATAATTAATTTTTACAGTCCCTAATTCTTTCACTAGGTAAAAAAAGTCAATTCCGTGGAAACTAGTAAAATATGCATATTGCCAGTATTGGCTTTGCAAATCTTAAGTTGATAATTTCTACATTAAAAAATAAATAGTAGAGATTTATTTCTCACAGCTTTGAGGGCCGGAAAGTCCAGACTCGAAGATGGGATGGGTTTGGTGTCTGGTCGGCCTGTTGTAGTTGGCACTGTCTCCATGTCCTGTACAGGAAATATAAAGGCAAATACAGCCCAGTCAGTTCCCTGGAGTCCTTTGTAAGCATATGAACCTGATCCTGAGAGCTGCTGTAATCACCTCATAAAAGCCTCTCTTGCTGTGACTATTCCACCAGGTCTTAAACCCCAGCAGTCATACCTGGGATGGAGCATTCTGCCTCTCTACCTGGCCGCAGGGAATGGGGGCTGTGCTTCCTGATTTCTTAGATGAGGAAGACTTAGGACAAGAAGAAGTCAGGGAGGGGCCAGAGATAGATGGTAGTGGTGAAGATGGCACGAAGGCTTGGTTAGGTACCATTACAGGATATCTGGACTAGGAGATGGACTGGAAGGGGACCTCTCAGTTGAGGCAGAGCTTCTCTCTTCCACAGTAAACTCTGACATTTGCTGTCTTGGGCCTTGAAGTCCATTCAGCTGAATGAGTGGAGCCACAGCTGCTTCCTCAGCTTGAGGTCCCCAAGACATTGAGCGGGTCAGTTGTCTTGTACTAACTACAGCTGGGAGGTCTCTATGTAGAATAAATTAAGACAGGAGCAGAGTAGGAACCAAGGGCAGTAAGGCTGAATGAGCCCTGGACAGTAAGCCAGGGGAGATCTTTCCCAGAACAAAATCTGAAAGTAGACTGATGGTATATAAATGTTCTTAGCATGAAATGTATCCCAATGGTCGCACAAAAAGATAACCAGAGAAACAGTTTTACTATCCTTTGATGATTAAAATATAATGCCAACTTAGCCACAATAGTGGCCTTTGCATTCGTTTTGATTTATCCAACACTGTAGGTAATTCCCACCCTGTAAGTCAGTGGTTCTCAACCTTCCAAATGCTTTAATCCCTTAACTCATGTGCTACTTCATAACTGTAATTTTGCTATTGTTGTGAAAGATAATGTAAATATCTGTTATGCAGGATATCTGTGTGTGATCCCAAAGGAGTCATGACCTACAGGTTGAGAACCACTGTTGTAAGTCCGTGCATTGTCAGCTACAAACTATTTTCTTCAGCCTTCCTGAAATTACAGTATGTAACTTAGGCTCTGCGAATCAGATCACCTATACAGTTTAGAAGGAGTTACCATGAAAAGCTAGGGAGGGGTTTTGAGGAGAAACTAGTCTGTTTATGATTACAGAAGCCATGGAGGTCTTAGAAAGTGTTCCTTCTCTCCAGCACCAAAGTTGGTAGTTATAACCTGCGACTATAGCAAAGACTCAACAAAGCAGAGTGGGCTGTATTTGTATGATTCCTACAAGACATACTTTGAATCCTATCTTCTCTAGTCTTCTCAGAGGCTTGTGAAATTCATTTTTACTGACTGCTAGTAGATATTACCATAAAATAAAGCACTCTCTCTGTTGGACCAAGGTCAATTATCTTGACTGTGGGATTTTTCATTACAGCCTCCAAGTTTAAGGGAATTAAGACGTTCTGTTTTACTGGACAAGGTGTTCTTGCTTGGTTATCTCTGGCTGACTCCTTTTCTTTTACCAATAGATGATACTTCCTCCTGAAAATGAATATAGTTTAGGGATCAGTTTATAGGAGGTAATTTCAGCTAATCAGTTCTTCTTTCCCTCTAGAAGTTACTGCCAACAACCACTGATCCAGTAGACATATGGGCATCCCTCCCTGCCCGGTTTGTGGGAGAAACAGCAGGAGCAGAGGAAGCCAACAGTTGCCTGGGTGTCTGTTGATTTTGAATGGGGAGCCTGCTGTGTATGCTGAGTAGACCACTATGGGAAGAGAAGCATCTGACACAGTCTTTGGTTGGGTTAAGTTTTTTGTTTGTTTGTTTTGTTGTTTTTTCAAGACAGTGTTTCTCTGTGTACCTTTGTAGACCAGGCTGGCCTCAAACTCATAGAGATCTGCCTGCCTTTGCCTCCAAAGTGCTGGAATTAAAGGCATGTGCACCACCGTCCTGGCATAGTTGGGGTTTTTAACAGGTTAGTTAAGAGAATGCAACAGGGTGCCCAGGCACAAAGAGAAAAAGTTTTCATCTCCGATCTCCCTTGATTTACATGGGAAGTAGACTTGTCATTGTAGGCTTTTAAGGCAACCCGTAGCACAAATCTGGCAAAGATGAGGTAGACAGCCTTATTCTCAGAGGGCAAGAATGGAGGAGATTGCAGAGCCTCAGAGAGCCTGTCCTATCTGTGAGTCCTCAGAGTGGACCCTGACCAACTTCATGGAGAACTGGTCATGAGCTCAAGAGCCACAGATAATCAGCAGCAAGAGTGATTTGCCTCTGACCCTGGTCTAGTACCTTGATTTCCTTCTCCCAAAGTTTATCAAGGGGCTCACTCATGCATACTCCACAGATACTGTCTTGGAAAGAAACAGAAGGGCGCGTTAAGCCCAAAGAGCCCATCCATCATTGCTCCAAAGTTGCAAGTAGGGCTTCTCCTTCATTATGCAGATGATGGTAAGACTGTAGATGTCATACAAAAAATTAAAGAAACCACTTTTTCACCTCCATGTGCAAGCATAACTAAATTTGTGCCCACTGTAAAAAGTAGTTATATTCTGTCTTAACTTGACTGTGCCCAGGTCCAGATGGGATGCCCATTAGCTGACCAGCCTGGGACTCTTCTGTTGATGGTACTATGAGAGTAAATGTCAATAATAAGTCAGGAAAAAAATAATCATTCTTCTGTATTACACAAGGCAGAACTTGTTCTACTAGAATCATTATTGAACAGTGTAAAATATTAACATTTAAAAATAAATTACCGTTTTTCAATAGAATCTGCTGAATGGTCTGTAGAATATATGGACTTCTTAGCTCTCCTTTCATTTTGATCTGAAATTACAGATTTTTGTAAAGGATGTGTAAGTGTTATACTACCTAGAAAATATCTGAAACAGATAACACAGAAAAATCTGGTCTAGTGGCAAATCTGTAGTAGCTTGTTGACACTTCTTTTTTTATGTGTGCTTCTGTGAGTGTCTGTGTTATGTTAGTGACCATGGAGGCCAGAGATGTCAGATTCTCTTGCAGCTGAAGTTACAAGTAGTTGTGAGTTGCCTGATGTGGGTGCTGCCAAAATAAAATCAGTAAGTGTTCTTACCACTGAACCATTTTGCCATCCATAAATCTTGAGTGAACAAGATAGAATAAAAGATAGATCAAGACTTCAGTGTTCAGCTTAGATAGTGCAAACATAAAAGTAGTCTTAGAGAGTTTTCATGAAGAAAAGTTTTGTTGTTGTTGTTGTTGTTTTAATGTTTTTGATACAGTGTCTCATGTGACCAAGGCTGGTCCTAAATTCACTATGTAGTTGAGGATGGCCTTGAACTTCTGATTGTTTTGCCTCTACTTCCCAAATGCTAGAATCACAGACATGTACTAACATACCTGGTTTATGCAGTACAGTCACATAACCAGTAGGAGGCCTGGGATAGTCAAATGGAGAGAAGTCACTTAGCAGATAGCAAATAGATCTTACCACCTGACATGAGGAAGTCTTCAAGACTGAATTTTTCTAGGTATATCTCGTGGCCACTCCAGAATTTTATTACCTTTCTAAATGATCCCAGATACGTACTGTCTTAGTAACTGTTCTATTGCTGTAAAGACACACCATGACCAAGACAACTCATAAAAGAAAGTATGTAAGTGAGGGTCTTGCTTACAGAGGGTTAGTCCATAGTGAAGGCAGAAAATGGGCATAGTGTTGGAGCTGTAGCTGAGAACTTTACATCCTGATTGGCAGGCATCCAGCAGAGACACTGCACTGGTATAGGCTTTTGAAACTTCACTTAGTTGTAGTGCTCCCTTGAGCTGTTTAAGTTCTCTCTGAGCCACTTTGGTGATGGTTTGGTTTTTCCCTGTTATTTTGATTCTGTTCGCCTATTTGGGCTATATGTCCTTTATATGACAGGCTTTGTCAGTTTGAAAGTGTTTCGAAGCTGTGCTGTGCCATTGGGGTTCTACCAAGTCATTTAAGACAAAGAAACAAGGTCTCTATTGTGGTCTGTGTAATGACAAATAATAAGTTTTGGGTATGTGAGATGGCTCCAAAGGTAAAAACACTTGCTGCCAAGTTTGGTGACGTAAGTTTGACACCCAGAACCCAGAATCAAATTGTTGTCTTCTGACTTCTACACATGCAAAGCAGGAGGCATGGACATTCATAAATGCATATACCCAACATAAAATATAAGTAATTAAAATGTTAAATTAAGTTTTTACTATTTTGTGCTCCCTAGGGAGAATTTTGTCTGACCAGTATTTTGTAAACTTTGATTTCTAAGCAGTGATGAAGACAGGAGATAGAAACAGTTTAGGCATATTGGGAGCAAGGACCCTGAAAGCAAACAGTTTTAATTCTTGTCATTGGCCAGAAGCAGAAGGAAGTCTTTAGTTCTATCCTGGCTAGACGCCAGTAGCACCAGACTGGGGCTAAATAAAATAACTTGTAAATGCACTTGAAGTAAACAGATGACTAAGGAATCCAGACTTTAGCATTTTTCTAGTAGTAATTGATGTTACAAAGTAGTGACATATTATGTCTGTACAACTAAATAGTGCTATTCCTTGGTCTTATATTTTCTTAATGTTTATAATGCAGATTACACGCTGTTACTTTTTTAACTCTTTTGATATAAACATGTAATTGTGTACCAGTAAATGGAGTAGAGACTTTCTCCTCCTTACCGGCATTGGATTGACTGACGAGTGTAGTGCACAGGACTGACGACTCTGGTGATCTTTTATACAGGTTTCTAGGCCAAGACTGTAGAAAATGCAAGGGCTTTGCATATACTTCCTAAACAGCAGGAAAAATGGAGACCTCTTAGAGATTGTACCTTTTTGTGATGATATATTTATTTATGACTTATTAAAGCTTGCTTGAGGATTCAGCAAAGCAAAGTCAGACTCAAGCTATAGAGATCAGGCAGTGCTGAAACACACCTTTAAACCCAGCAGTCAGATGCTAGGGGGTAGTGATTCACACCTTTAATCCTAGGACTCAGGATTAAGATGTAGATGAATCTCTGTGAGTCTAAGGCCACCCAGATCTACACAAGATTGATCCAGTCCTAAAGAGAAACAGCTCACACAAAGATGATCTTGGCACCTGGGATCACAGGCCTTTAATCCCATCATTAGGGAGGTATATAAGACAGGAGAAAGGTCTCAGTATCGGGCATTCATTCTCCAGCCACATTGAGGATAGGAAGACATTCAGTCACAGGATTCTCCAGCCACACTGAGGAGAGGCAGCACGATCAGCCCACTCAGCCTGAGGTAGTGGTAAGAGCTAGTGGCACGCTACCTTGCTTTTCTGAATCCTCAGGCAAGCATTAATAAATCATAAATAATGCATCACCACAGTCTTTCTATCTGTGTGTTAATTTGTGCTTTGTTGTTCAGGTTGTCTGTTTTGCTTTTGGAAACAGAGTCATATTGAGTCCAGGCTGAGTTTGAACTATTTTGATTCTTCTGACTCCAGCTCTTGAGTGCTCAGACTGTAGGGATGTGCCAGTACACCCAGTTTATAGTCTGGTAAGAATCAAACCTAGGGCATTGTGCATGCCAGCTACAGCTCCATCCTTCACTCGTTACATTTTGAATATCTAACTATGATAATTACTGACTATTTTGTTCTTAAAATGTTACCTGTTATTCAGTGCTGGGATTGAACCTAGGGCCTCATGGATGGTAGGCAGGTATTTTACCATTGAGCTTACACTTCAGTGCTGAGTACTTTCAAATATGGTATTTAATGTAATGAGATAGATGTTATCATTGCACTTTATGAACAAGGAAAAAACAAACCAGGGAACTTAAAAGATTTGCCCAGGTTTGTGTTTACTAATGACTATTTCCCTTGTCAATGAAACTTGGACTTTATATTTATAATAAACATTTTTTCTAAAGTTAAGTGAAGTTCAGAAGTAGGAAAGCATCTAGCTCTTTTTAAACAGAAATATCCACATAGAATGGGAAGAACAGAACAGTTTGGAGTAGAGGACAGAATGTGGAATGATAGAGACAGGCAGTATACATCCTTCTCTGTTCTCTGCCCACTTGGACATGGATGCTTAGAGCCCTCCAAACATGTGAATGTATCACACACATGCACACCACATGTGTGAACACCATAAAACAATAGCAACATACACACCATAAAACAATGGTGAAACATACTTCAAGTTAAAGGGCTAGGAAAGGACTTTCTAGAAAGGAACCCAGCACACAGAAGATACTCTCAAAAGAGTGATGTTTGAGCTTACTTAAATTAAAATTCTTCTGCACAGCAAGCTGTTCAGAGTGAAGAGGTGGTCTTCAGAATGAGAAGAAATATTTTCTAATCATATGTCAGACAGGGAATTGATGTATAAAATTCATAAATAACTGTAATAAATGTTAATAAACCACCCAAATAGTAAATAGGTGAAGAAATACAAATGGCCAGTAAATATTTGAAAAGATGTACAATATCCTTAGCCATCAATTAAATAAAATTAAAATCTCTTTAATATTCCATCTTGCTGGTAAGACCCTATTGCTAAAGACAACACTTAACATACTTATCTCATTGAACATCGAGGTTGAGCTGGTACCTAACCAGAGCCTTCACCCCCACTGAATAGTGTTCATCATACTGGAAGGTATTCTGCATGCTTCCAGAGGATAAAGGAAAACACTACCTGGCTACAAATCCTTCCATTCCCAATAGTGATCTGCCTACATGATATGCTAGTGTAATAGTGACATGAAAGTTGTGGGAGTAGCCCACCAACATCTGATTGGATTTTAGGCCTGCTCCATGAGGTGGAACCCATACCCAATGCCACTTGGGTGGCCAAGAACCTGGGATTACATAGCCCAAAGGGCCAGGGGAAAGTCAAATACTACTTTTCTGCTAAAGAAAAGTAGCAATAAAATGACTCCCAATGGTGTACTGCTATAGTCATAGGTCAGCACCTTGTTCAGCCATCATCAAAGAAGCTTCCTCCTGCAATAGATGAGAACAAATACAGAGACCCACAACTGGGCACTGCACAGAGATGTTAGAACACACAATCATAAATGGGATATTTCCATCAAATCCCTCCCCTCGGGGTTCAACAAACTTTGCCGTAGAGAATGTAGAAAGAGTGTAAGAGCCAGTGGGATGGAGAACTCCATGGAAACCATGTCTTCCAGACACAACAGGACTGACACACACATGAACCCATAGAGACTACAGCAGCCTACACACACAGGGCCTGCACCGGTACAAGCCAGATGATGGGGTCCCAGTGCCAACAGGGAGAAAGGCCAGATGGGGTCCCAGTGCTGAGAGGGGGGAGAAGTGAACATGAGCTCCCATTCCTGACCAAGAGGCTGTCCAAGTGACAACTGCTCATAAAGAAAAAAGTAATTGTCTCCAATGGAGTCCCACTGGGTATCCAAACCACACAAGAGCATGCCCCATGTCCAGCAGTAGACAGCCAATTCGAAATGAACTCAATAGTATTTGGGGAGAATTTCTTTGTCTGATAATGCTTTGTCTGAGCCTTTAAAAAATCTCTCTGATCTTTTGCTTGTATATTATGGTTTCTAGGAGTGGGGGAGATTCCATCTTGCCCTAGTCAGAATATCAAATACTAATAAAACTTATTTTAACAAATGCTACTGCTGAAGATGACGTGGGGAAAGTGGAACACTTATACACTATAGGTGGTGTTGTAAATTATTATAGGCATGATGGACATTAATGTGGAGGTTCCTCCAAAAACTAAAAATAGAGTGACTGTGTGACTGAGCTCTTCCACTCCTTGGTATATACTCAAATGATGTTAAGCATGGCACACAGAGGTACAAGAATATCCATACTTATTGCTACACTACTCACAATAGCTAAGAAACAGAATCATTCAAGATGCTCATCAACAAATTAAAGAAGAAAGAAAATGTGTTATATAAGCACAATGGAATTTTGTTCATCAACGAAGAAAAAGGAGCCATGATATTTGCAGGAAATGAATGCGATAAAAAATCTTTATGTTAAGCAAACTAAGCCAGACTCACAAAAATACCAATGGTTTCTCTCATATTCAGACTCTAGGTTTAAGTGTGTGTGTACGCACACACATACATAGATCATAAAAGTTGAGAGGACCATGAGAAGAAAGGAAGAGATCTTAAGTGGGAAGGTGTCTTAGTTAGGGTTACTATTGCTATGATGGAACACCAAAACCAAAAAGCAAGTTGGGGAGGAAAAGTTTTATTCGACTTGTACTTCCATATATCTGTTCATCATCGAAAGAAGCCAAGACCGAAACTCAAACAGAGCGGGAACCTGGAGGCAGGAGCTGAGACAAAAGCCATACAATGGTGCTGCTTACTAGCTTGCTCCCCATGGCTTGCTCAGTCTGCTTCCTTATAGAATCTAGGACCACCAGCCCATGGATGAAACCACCCACCATGGGCTGGGCCCTCCTTCATCAATCACTAATTACAAAAATGCTCTTATGGAGGCATTTCCTCAACTAAGTGTCCCTCATTTCAGATAACTCTAGCTTGTATCGGGTCAATATAAGAATAGCTAGCCCAGAAGGCTATAAGAAAAACAAAATCTAAAATTACAGAGAGTGATGGAATACACAGGTTGTGATAAGCTTATAATTGACATTGTACTCTACTCAGTAGGGAATATTTGAAGATTTTCTCTCATGATTATTAAGAAGACCATCAATCTCCACTTTCACCAGTTTGAGTCAACACAGGACTAGAAGTCCCAGGCCAGAGCTATCAGGCAATGGAAAGAAATAGAGAGTATCCAAACTGGAAGGGAGATAGTCAGATTTTTTTCTGTATACATAGAACAATACCTTATTTATAGAAAAAATGTAAAATTAAAAAAACATATATCTGATTAACAAATTCAATAAAATGGATGATACAAAATCTGCATACAAAAATCTAGCCATACAAAGCTGAGGGAGAAATCAAGAAAGTCATTGTATTTATGATATCTATGTATCTATCTATCTCCTAGCACTTTAATCAATGAAATAAAAAAGGAAAGAAGGCACATATACATCCCTGAAAGCAAAAACATCCTGTGTACATGGTTTGGAAGAATTACTAATGTTAAACTGTACAACTTGTCCACAAACATCTATAGACTCACTTTATTTAGCTTCCAGTCAAGTCCTCCATAGCTATATATAAAAACCCAAAATTTTATGGAAATCACCAAAGCCTGAAATGGCCAAGGGAATGGTAAAGGAAGAGAAAAAAATCTGAATAAAGTAAAACACCTAATTCCAAAACATATCACCAAGCATGACATGGCAGCATACATGAAATGCCACAACCTTTGGAGTTGACATAGGAGTGCCTTGAGCCTAGACTGGGCTGCCCAAAGAGCTTTTGTCTTTAAAGAAAATGAGAGCTGCAGTGCAACTCCACACATAAGGCCTACCTAGCAGGAGCCAGGCCCATGACCCCAGTATACACAAAGGGAAGGCTTAAGCTCTGTTCTACAACACAGTGAGATGACTATAGTTATACATTTCCAAATAACTAGCCCAGAGAATTTGGAAGATTTCTCAACATAGAGAAGTAAATGTTTGAGGTGATGGATATACTAATTATCCTGATTTGATAATTATGTATTATATATGTGCATCAAAATATACATGCATAACTGGATGTAGTTATTATGTTCCAGTTAAGACCTTTTCAAAGAACCAGGTCCAGATATATAGATGGACAAGTTTTTTTCAAACTTACATGCAGTAAAAACAAAGCATAACCCCCAAAGAACTC